TGATTATAGAATCCTCTTCATCCCATTTTGTAAATCTGGGATCTTCTTCTGTAGAAGAATCTTCAGTCAAGTTGTTTGCTTTCCCTTTACCTTTCAAAGTTTTGCAAACAAGCTAGGCCCATTTCAAATAATTCTTCCCATTCAATCTGTAGGCTTTGACGCAGTATGCACCACTTCAGGAATTTGGTTTTGTTATGTCCATGCAGTACAACAACCTTAAGGCAGTGAATGAAGGCAACCTGAAAAAACGATTGACAGCATTGAAGGCTGGTGGCTAGGGTTTGGTGTGTGACAACAATGAAGACTATCCTGAAAGGGATGGTGGTAGCAGTGAAGGTTGTCGTCTAGGGTTTTGGGGTGCACAGTCAAAGACGGCACCTAGAATTTGAGAGCTCTGATACCATGTTATAATTTAGGGTAGAATGATTTGTCTTATTATGATGAGAATACAATCTATATATATAAGGCTAGAAAGCTATTTTAGGTAGTAGAATAATAGCTCCTAGACAACCAAATCCCTATGAATCAGGGATATCCATATCCCTATCATATATTGTAATTATAATCTACTAAATAAGTAAACAATAAAACACAAATCCTGACAGAAATAATACAGCTAATAAAACAAAGTCTAACATAAACAATAACCTTCAATAGCTGTAGAACAAACTCGATAGCCTCTCTTGGGCTTTTCTTGTCAGCAGCTCTAACCATGGCAACAGCATGGGGAATAGCCTACAACAACAATTTATTTACCCAAAAATGACTTGCCACGTTTTAAAAGCACATCAATAAACAATTATTCATTATACAGCCACAAGAAGAATATGCAAACCAGTTCAGAATTACCATCACAAAAGGTAACTGACAAAAACATATCATAAACAAGACATTCAATATTCAATTGTAAACACAACAAACCATTGTAAAAGAAAAGAATGTAAATGATCACAGATAAGTAAGGGTCGAGTTCATGGATAATATTATAATTTGAAAAGGGGGTATTTCATGGATGACATTATAGTTTGTAAAAGGGATATGGGAATCTTAGTTCATGGATGGCATTATAATTAGCACAAGAGCAGCAAAGTTCGTGAGGGTGGAGCGACCAGGTTAACAAAGATCAAGATTCCAATACAAAAGGCCGTAGGATCACCAGATGATGACAACACAAATTGTAAGTTTGAACTTATTTAATTCATAATGCACACAAGTTTATCACCATAAAACTAGACAGTAGAAGAAATCAAAATAGAGCACACCGAAAGTAATTTGTACGAGGTTAGAAGCATCCTAGGTGACAAACACATCAAAACCACAACAGTCATTGTGAGACGTTTGTGTCCTTCGCATTGAGACTCAAAATATCACTCCCCAGATAAATATACGAGTTCAGAAAATGTTATAATTCCCAAAGCAATCATTTATTCTTTCAGAATGATCATTGTCTCCAAATGAAACCCAGAGACTAATGTTTTTCTTTTTTCTCAAACCATGGAATCAAACTGAAAATGTTTAATCATTTGGGTTTACAGGTACAACTAACATAGACATATTCACTCCTACTTAAACCTTCATACAGTACATATCTGGTGTCATTTAATGCATCACGATAATTAAGCAAATGAATACAGCTAAGCACACCACACTGACCACTGCTTACATTTCAATAAGCAATGTAAAACTGCGTACAGATCACAGCTACCAAATTTCAATAACCTGGCATGTACACTATCATGGAAATCAGACAAATATATTGCACTAGATCAAAAAGGAAGATATTGATACATGCAAATATAATAACCACATACACCCATTTACAAAAAAGTAAAATAAACTCTATTTAAAAATTATAAAAACTGAAACAACACTTTATGGAACACCACAAATATTCAAAACACAATAAATAACAAACATTACAAAATCACATCACATTAGGCGTAACTTACACATCCTACCTCCTTGCATTACCTCAAGAACAAAATACTCAGCAAAATCATGAAAATCATTCGGCCTGGAAATAATAGTACAACAAAATTAGTCAAGGGATATTGCCAAAGTTAAATGAGAAAAGGTGAACAATAATTTCCATAATCTTACTTTGGAAGTCCAATGTCAGGATCAAACCTTCGACTCTTGTAAAATTTCACCAAATGGAGTAGACCAGAAAAATCAGTTTCCTGTCAGACAATTAAATGACAACATTATTCACATTTCAAATTATTACACCCATTAACTACAGTGAGACATATGGCATCCCAGTTATTCCTGAACATGAACAACTATTGAATAGATTTCAAAGTTGTAATAGCCACCAGATTAAGGCATGCTTAAAACTAAAAGGCAAACTTCCATTTTTTTCCTGTGTACAGATATCTACTACAGCAGTGAGTAGCAAGTTATTAAAGTTCATCTATTATCTCAAAACCAGATCTGAACTCATTTGGTTAAATTAAGGACAGCCAACTTCATTCCCACTCAGCCATTGATTTAATATGTATACCACTGCTCTTGAATATAAACGAAAAATAACTAGCTCATACTAATTAAGAAAGTTTGCTAGTTGTTGGAGATCCCAACTAAAGATAAGAACAATTTACAATATGCAAGTGGATGCAAACTTTATCTAACAAGCTAGTTTTGTAAGATTGAGTCAATTCTTAAGATAGTATTAGAGCCAATCCTAGTAAAGTTTGTTTTATGTTAGACTACTATGTCACCTGTTTTCGGCCACTATCAGAACACCCACAGATATTTAGTTCCACTCTTGAGATACAAATGCCACGGTGTGACCGAGGTATATTGGATATCCCACATCGAGTAGAGATAAATACATTTTTCAATATATACATATGTGCAAATATCACCCTACAAGCCCAATTTTGTAGGGTTGTGATAGGTTTAAAGTCCACTTATTAAGAGTTAGCATTAATCAATTGTACCTAACTCATTCAAAACATAAACCTCTTTCTCAAACCACCCTTCCTTGGAAATTAATACAAAAAGATGAGTCATTGGAAATAAAACCTCCACTAAATGAAGGTATTTTGGAAACAATCTCATAAGTTAAACTTAGTTAATACTTCTAATATTTGAGACTAATATATAAGAGATTTTATAATTTGTTTACTTATATTCAAGACAGGAGGAGGTATATCATAAAGTATGCAACAAGTAACGTAGCATTACCTCGGATGCTGAATTTGCCAATGCAAATGCTGCTTCAATCCGTACTCTCCAAAAGGCCTAGAGAACCAAAAGACTACAGATATTAATTTCATATTTAAAAGCTACTACTGAAAATATATTACAGAAAGAAAATCACCTTGGAGTCACCGAGAAAATTGTTTAGGGCGTTTACAATTGAAAATGATAGTTGTGGTGATGCCTTAAGGGCTGCAATTGCTTGTGCCTGAGCAATAACATCTTTGTCCTTCTCTAATTGATTGATCTAAATAAAAAAATTAAATATCTAGAATCAATAAACATAACCAACAAAATACTAAATATGATAATGAAAGATGCAAATACGAACCCCACACAAATGAATGAGCATGATTTATTTCTAAAATAGCCGAGAGAATGAGGAAGGCTCAAGAGGTGAATGAGTATGATTACATAACATTGCATCATTGCACGTTTTATGTAATTGGGTCTTCTAGCTTCCCTAATAGAATAAAAAAAGTTCAAGAAATAGGGGCATGATGTAAAACTTAGAAAGGAACTTAAACAAAGAGAGATGATTCAGGTAGACACTCGATTTAAATTTTCAAAGAACTTCATATCAACTATTCAAACACCACAAATGCTAAAAGACCAGAAAAGGAAAGTATTTGAACATTCACTTTAATATAAGACAACAAAGATTAAAAATCTGCAACCAGGGTATGATGTAAAGATCAAATAGGAAGGTATGGAAGTTCCACACCGGAAGTATGACTTCTGGTGTTTGGATTTATAAATTCTTAATTGGACAATGCTTTTCACTATGAGATGCAAATCAAAGACAATGAATGGGATAAGGGCTACTCCACAGCCAGCTTATGTGTGTCAAGGCAGTGGAGCATGGTAGGATGCTAGTGTTCAGTTGCAAGGTATGACTAATAAGTCCCACATTCAAAATATAGACTCATATCGTGGGTTGAGGCCCTAGGCTTGTCAATTACAACGGTTAGCTTTTCTCAAGTGGTTCTCCTAGGATTTCTTAGCATAGGATAAATAAACTAGTTGTATACACATCACACATAAAACCCAGAAAGAAGACCAAAATAATTGAAACATGGGGTGCTTCTAATAGCATAGCAAAATACTATATCACAATAAACCAAATAAAATCAACTGGCTGTAACAATTCATCCTTACCCACATCTGAACAGGTTGGTTAAAGTGAACCTCGGCAAGGTACTCCATATCAGGATCTGCTCTGATCCATAATAAAGGGGACTCAGTACTGCCATAACAGAAAAATCATCAGAACTAAATCATCAACCACAAATTAAAACAAAAAGATATGAAACTGATAAATACTTTGAGCGCACATCCATGGAAGGCACGTCACCATTATCATCAGATCCATCATGTTTTAACCCTTTCTTGGGCTTCTGAAAGCGTCTAGCAGCAAGCTTTGAGTGGCATTGTATTTCCAGTAGCTGCCATGCTTCACCAGCCATTGGCAGAATAGGATGGTCATACATACCTTCAAGTTCATATACCCTGATGCTCATCATACCAGGCCATCCAGTATCTCCATCTCTATTTTCTGTCTCTGGATTAATATCAAGAGTGGATGTAGTTGAAGTCTGCAACGCTGTACATCCTCGCAACACAGCTAATTCAACCATATTCTTCCTTTTGTTATAGGAAAACCCCATCCTTAGCAACAGCAACAGGTAACCCATCACAATACATGTACAGATAGCGTTCCAAAAATGAAATCAAGAGTAACAAATAAATCCTTTCTTATACCTTAAAACAGGACACCCACAAGAACCAACCCACCGTGGAAAGAAATCCTTAAGAAACGGACGTTCAAGATTCCCAACCTTATTGGCAAAATGTCGAAACTGTGTATTGAAAAAATTTATCAGATCCACCTTACATCGTCAGAAGCAAAAAAAGTAAAGATACTTCAGCTATCACTGCATTGAAGATTAAACTACATTTATACTTCTCAGCTCTACATGAGATTACAAGGACAAAATTATTTAGTCTACCAAAGCAATTCAGAGCTAATTTCATCAATTTGCTTGTCCACCTTTTATGCATATTGTTTGATCAATTAAATGCATAAGATAGAGCAACATGGAAAGGCCCGTGATGGGCATATATACTCGAAAATGGAGTTTGCATACAAGCTGAGTTATAAAGGATATGTAAAATGTGTAATGCCTAGTCTGCCACTCCCGTTCAGATATGATAGTTATTTCTGTAGCAAATAGTTTGTTGTCAAACTGTCCATTACTCTTTAACTTATTATTGAACTTAATTATTCTATATATCCAAGAGGCACTAATACCACAACAATGTCTTTTTCAGAAAATAAAGTATTGGTTCACAACTAAAATTGGAAAGAGAAGAAAATTGGAATCATATTAATGAAAGTTTAGAAGAATGAAAATTTGGAAAAATTTGTAAATCTTAAAAATACCCATAGCCGAACAATCTAGATTATTGCAAACTGAGAGGAGGGAAAATTGATGGGCAAGTCACATAACAATGAAGCTTGGTCGATGAAATGAATAAATGTTTCAGGCTTAATTATGGTACTGACTCACTGTTGGCCAATTTTTCCCCAACCAAACAGTCAACACTCCTCCCAGGGCGCAAAAAAAAGAAAGGTGCATCCAAGTTTAAGATGTGGCAAATTAGTGAAAATACAAAAAATCTATCATTTTTTGTTAGACATTTTTCATTCCATCGTCCACTGACACTAATTCTGTCCCATGCTCCTATCCTCCCTTTTTCCCATTTACATCAATTTGGCACAATCTACTTATCCTATAGCAGTCATATTCATGATAATGCAATGTTATAGATAGATAAACCTAAAAGAAGTGGTTATGACACACTATAACATTTATTGAACTCCGCCAACTATGCATAGTTAATTGCCAATGTCTTAGAAGCTATATTCCAGTAATATGCCACATATTGTACAGAACCAAAAGTACATTACCTCCTTAGTACTTAGAGTCTTCATGGAACGTGTTTTATCTTGAGCTCGAGAAACTATCGTTTGTAAAATCTATACATTAATAGCAAGCAAAAAATATCATCAAATCTTCAAGCATATAACCTCCGAGGGGAAATAAAGAAAAAGAAAATTTCATAAAAACTGGTAAGAAAAACAAAAACCACAGTAAAAGGCTCATGGCAGATGATGAACAATGGGAAAAGGTGTTCAATGCAAGGAGACCACTATCTCCAGGGAAGTACATTCTGGAATACATGCGTGAACATTGTTACACAAGATTCCACAACTATTATTTGACATCCGTCACTATCTAACAGGTTGAGTGGCAGAGGGTGGTTGGTCACATGAAGCCATTGCAGCTAAACAGAAAAGAAAGAATAAAGAATTGTACAGATTTTATCAGAAGTTGCAGATTAGGTTGGTATTGCCACCAGAAACCTCATTGGAAATCCTGCCAGATATGGAGAGGAAAGATGCGACAAGACAGGAGGAAAGTAGAGAACCAGAATAAGGGAGAGAAGGATGATTTATGGAAGACTGGGGTGCAAATTGTGTATTATAGGATAAAATAGAAAGTTTCCATTTATTGTCAGCAAAAATAAACAGAAACCCCCAAACGACCCTGTTTCCAGCCAGGAATTGAATCCCTTATGTCAGCAGGAGCAATATGTTTCAGTTTTGTCCTCACAACGCACACAACAGCCAGAATACTGAGGTGCGACATCATGCAACCTTTTGGTGCAGGGGGCGCCACTCCACACTAGCACAATATTGGTGTGAAAGCACACTATTGATTACCATGATTAAGACACATTCAACATATATCTAGAATGATCAGAAGCATAAATAGTGCAAATGTCAAGGACTCTCACTCTACGGAAAGATTCAGGACCCATTTGCTTTTCCAACATCTGAAGAACAGCCACCTGAAAAGGGGTAAAACAATATTTATATAATTCAATACTGGTTAAGGAATCACACTAATGTACTGGCTCAATGCTATAAGATGACAGGTAGGGGGAGAAGAAAAGGAAAGGAAAATACTTACAGACTTCCACGATCTTATTTTTCCATACAAACCAATACACTGAGTTCCATATAAATCCTTGCAGGAAGCTGAACAGCTCAAAGCTGTCGCTCCACCATTATCAACTTTGCAAACCGCACAATTTGCCTGTAGAGTGATTTACATTAGCACGCAAAAAAATGTAATTAACATATTAACTGTTGCACTTTCAACTCAGAATATTTCTACAGCCTCAACCTAGACTGACAGATCAACAACCATGCTTAAATATGAAATGAAATTTCAGTAAAGAAAACCAAAGCTAAAAAGAAGAATACCTTGAAAATTTGAACTAAGTAGCTAAGAATAATTAATATTGTTAAAAAATATGTTTTGATCTTAGTAATTAGGGAAATATGTTCAGCTGATAATTAGGAATATTTTCCATGATGAGCCATTATTAGGTTTCCCTGTATTACACTTTCGATGATTATAATAAAGGACTACATGTGTGATTAAACACACAATTCACAACAGAGAAACTCTTAATGTCTTTGCCTTTCATATGTCTTTGCTCAAAAATGTGACCATTTATCTTCTTCCTACTTTTATTTTATATCTTCTTTGGACAGTGTGTTTGTCCCTAGGTCTAGAGGTGAAGTCACGGTTGACCAAAATTAGAATCAAACAATGTTGGCAAAGATGGCTATTTTGGATGCTAGCAGCACATGGGACCTTTTTCCATTGCTTCCCCTCAAAACACTATTGGGTGCCATTGAGTCTATACACTTGAGACTAGAAAAGAAAAATATATTTCTAGAGGGCTTGATGCACCTCCACAATTCAAGTTACATTTATAGAAAAACAAAAGATGTGGCTACACTTCCAACCAGCTAAGATTGGTTGGAACACACTCACACAACTCATACACACTCACACAATTCATAATTCTAACATGTACAATGAAAATTGCACCTGATGGTACAATTGATTGTTACAAATTTTGCCTAAATTTTGGTAAAACTTTTTCAAATATGGCCAAAATCATATATTTTCCACCTTTTTCTTGCCATGGCAGCAATCTACCATTGGCATCTTCACCTGTCAAACATAAAAAATGCTTGCCTACAAGGTGAGTTGCAAGAAGTATGCATGTCACCCGATTTTAAAGTACCTAATGGCTAGCATCTTGTTTGTGAGCCACTGACTATAACTTCAAGTAGTTTCATTGTGATTGATTCTCTTAAGAAGTGGACTTTAAGTCTAACTCAATCCCACAAAATCAGCTTGTAAGATGAGATTTGCACTCACTTATATAATCTAAATTGACCTTATCAATAGTTAATGTGGGACTTCCAACACACCATTCTCACGTCAAGGTATATACATCCCGTATGTGGGATTAGACATTAATGGACAGTTCAATAGCAGTCCAATAATAGATGGAAGAATATATCCAACAAACAACAAATTTCACTAGGATATGCTCTAAACCATGGCTTTGATACCATGTTAAGAAATGGACTTTAAACCTAACTCAACCTTACAAAATCAGTTTGTAAAATGAGATTCACACCCTCTTATAATTAATGTAGGACTTCAAATAGATTCAAACGTTTCAACTCAATATTGCATGAGCTTGTATGACTCATGTGAGGTTAATCACTTGGTTTTTTCACATCATTCTTCATCTAGCATGTACATCTATTTTATTGTATATGTTGATTACATTGTCATTAATGGAGATGACTTCAATGGCATTCTTAAAATCAAGTCTCACCTTCACAATCAATTTCAGACCAAGAACATGGGTCCACTTAGGTACTTTCTTGGCATTCAAGTTGCACAATCCTAGTCTAGCATTGTCATTTCCCAACGAAAGCATGCTTTAGACTTTTCAAACAAGATTAGTATGATTGATGGTCGGACAATGATAGTCCTACATATCCTAATTTGAAGTTTCTTGGGTTAAGTGGAGCCATTGAAAGACCCTAGAAGATATCACAGTCTAGTAGGTAGGCTTAATTACCTCACTATTAATAGACCAAAAATCAAACATGCATCAATTGTGGATAGCCAATTCCTAAAGGTCCGTTGAGATTATGCATACTTAAATACATCAATAATATACCAGGTAGCAGTTTAATATATGCAAACAAAGGCAATTCCAAAATTGGTTGTCATGCTAATGCCGATTGGACAAGACCACGATTAAATAGGAGGTGCACTTCTTGATCTCGTCTTCCATGAGGAACTAAACACAAAAAATGATTGTCATTTTGTGAGACAAGGTGCTCTCTAGAGAAAACTTAAATGACCCACTTGCATACATGCTTGCAAAATCCCATAAGAGCTCTGGTTGACCACATTTGAAATAAGCTAGGCTCATATGACATATGCTCGAGCTTGAGGTGGGTATGAAATATGTTTTGATCTTAATAATTAGGGAAATATATACAACTAATAGATAGGGATATTCTCCATTATTATCCATTATAACGATTTCCTTATAGTATACTTTGAATGGTTATAAATAAAGTATTTACATGTGTGATTAAATATTAAATACAATTCTCAATAAAGAAACTCTTAAAACAAATCTGTAGAGAAGGAAACATAAAAACTACGAGGGGATAAAAAAAATGGTTATAAACAGCACCATCCTCAAGAATACTTAAGAGAATACATGAACACTACTCCAAACTACAAAGCATCCAAACAACAATAACAAGTTGAACCTCAAACTTCTATGTACACCCATAAAGAGCCTACGTCCATTAACTTACAATATATGCACAAAGAGTTAGCCTTCACATAGACCAGACTAAACCAAAAAGAAGAACAAACCTTGTATCTCCGATATCGGGCCTCATTATTTCCCAAATGTTTCTTGATATAAAAATCTGTCAAGAAGCCAGCAAGTCCATCCAAGAGCCACTCTGCAATGTGCAAATAAGCATTCATCAATCACACCAGAGGAAACACAAAATTTGCTGAATTCCCAAAGAATCAACTCAAATTAAAACAGCAATCGAAATATCCTCTGATAATTTACCATCATTTGGAGTCTCCGGAGTGATATACACGCCAAACCACTGTCTTGCAAGAGCATATGCAAGTTTTGCCCTTGTATCAATAGTCTGTCAATAAAGTCATAGGCTGATCATAAGCTGGCAGGGTAGTAAAATCACAAGCATAAAAACCCTCAAGTACAAGAGGAAAAATTTCTTTATTCATTCAGAAATTGTATGATTAGAAAAAAGGAAATCAACTAAAAGAATTGAAGTAATGAACTGACCTGATCAATAACCTTCTCATCAAACAAAACTTGTGAACTAAATATACTCATAGAGGCCCCTAAACTCAGTGAAGACACAGCCGTCTCTGGCTCTATGAAAACTTGCGTGTATGAGTCAAATGGGAAGTCTACAGCAAGATAATCCTTATAGCAGCTGCTCACAAATAAAAGTCCAACTATGCAATCATTATACAATTTGTGATTAAAAAGCAACCTGCTAGTTAAATTGCAACTGTCACATGCCAAACCTGAAGGCACTGTGGAAAAATTCCACTGTATTCCGCATCTTTGACAGATTAGGCATCAAGCACATGTGTGATATGAGACTAAATTGGTGATCAGGAAGAATTTCAAATGGGGCAACAGCCAAAGATATCCACCTTGCAGCTACTGGAACATCCAATTTATAAACATATGTTTTCCTAGGAGGATTGTCCTTGCTTAAGACCTGAAAAAGAAAGGAGGTTCAAACAAAAACATATTTAACTATGCGTAACACAAGATAAATTTTCATATAGAACTATAAATTTAAATAGAGACAAAAGAGAAGCATTTCAACAAAGGAGAGGGTCAAGAAATTTCCCTGAAATGTGGGTGGCAGGCAGACCAGGCTATCATACATAATCTACATTCCATTGCATGTAGAGAATGGAATCAAGTAAAGGAATGCGTCAATAATAAAAACAATAATTATGTTTTCAAACTTAGACAGGGGTATTTTTCCTTTATGCTTCTCTTCCATGAAATGGTAGCAGAAGACAAAATGCAACACTGCTTCTAAATTTTGTAAAAATTAAATGAACTTTTCAACCCAAAGATCTAAACAAGAAATGACAAATTCCTTGGATGAGAACTTTGACTAAACAGATCCATGACCCTGGAGGTGCGGTGAGCATGGATTGAACATGCGACCTTCAGATCTTCAATCTGATGCTCTCCCAACTAAGCTATCACCGCAAATCAAAGATGCCACCAACCAGAAACCAATATCCAGCCAATAGTGTTGCAGAGTTGCATTAACCCCACACCCCCTCGCAACAAATTGACAGTGATAACCATATATGGCTAACGGGGATTAAACCCGAAAAGCTTGCATCAGAAACAAATTGAAATCCATACAATATCACTATGTTGATGTCGTGTCCCAAATGACAACAAGAGTATTTGGCAGATGAATTTTATCATTTAAGAAAAAGAAGACAAGAAACAGAGAACAGAAAAGGGGTAGGTTGCATCTGATCCAAAGAGGAAAGGGAAAAAACAGAACAGCGAACTCAATCTCCAAAAGTTTCACTGGGCCTCACAATATGCAAGAACATAACTTAAGAATAAGCAGATCAAATTAAACATTGTAGAAGATTCTTCCTTTAAGGCTTTTCAAGAGTCCAATGAACAAATTATGAATAAATGGACTAGAAAATGACAATACACAACGCATAAAATAAAAATCAGCAGATAATTCACTGTTCAACCAGACATCTCAAGCTTAATTATTTCGCAGCAAAAAACTAATCATGTTAGAAAATCACTATTTCGAATATTTTTTAGATAACCAATAACTTTAACATTCATGTTTTTATGTAGAAACTGGTGATTTTTAGTTTTCTACAGTTCTATGATAGCAGACAGTCATTTTCAGCAATGAATATTCCCAAAAAGAATATTGATTGACTTTGAAGCCAATCATCATCTAACACCTATGGAATATAAGAAAAGAAAAACCAAATTAAGCATAACTCCAATTTCCGAAACAAAGGAAATTCCAATTTCCAACCTGACTTGACTTGAAAGAACATTAAATGTGCTTATCAACAATAGAAACAGCTCCAAAATGTTATCAGCTTATGTAAAAATAGTATTGCTTGTGCTTTCATAACTTTAACAGAATATTAGTAATAGTATCAGTCATTGCTACCTGATAAAGCAAGAATCCCGTACTAACAGCCACAAGATTGTGTGCTACGGTGAACTCCAGGTCATAGCTGAACATTAGCAAAACAACAATAATTACTTCAAGCTCAAACGATGAACAGTAAATAAATTTATAATGAAATGTAAGCATGGATATGGACACACAAATGGGAAAGTGATAACAGTCCATACCAGCATCGTTGTGAATTGTCATCTATACAGGGGAACCAACATCTAGCTCTCCTTATCTGATTATCAGTATGAAGAAGATTATTTCTGAAGTGGATTCCTGTCTCTGCCTTTTCTATCCAATAGTCAATACGAACAATTCTCACATTCTGCACCCAACATCAACCTACATGAGAAAACACCAATAGTAAACCTCACCAAAACTACTCATTCTCACATTTCACTGCTATATTCTCATGGAAGAATGATGCACTATCTCAACCATTAAAAAATAACCTATTTCCTACTATGAGGGGCAAAAAATATATAGAAATAAAAATACAAAAATAGGGTGAAAATTTAGAAATGACATAATAAAATAGCACTTCTGGTGACACATCACAATTTCATTAGTGCAGCATCTAAATAACACGTGGAAAGTCCAAGCAGGCAGAGGACGATGTTCATAAATGGGTTGATAGTCCTTAGAATGAACATGGGTCCAAAGTTTCATAAAATGTTCAGTAGCTTCACCAGCAATGGCAAGGTTTTCTAACTCAATGACAGCATTGCAACTGCATCAGTCTGCAATTTCCCATAATGTGAAGGATGTGATCTCAACATCAAGGCTTTTGGATTTGGACTCTTCTTGACCACAATTGTTGCTAAAATTGTCCACTATTTCCCAGAATATAAAGGATAACCATAACCACAATTTAACTTCAGGTTGGTCATACTGAACCCAAACCCATGGCCGGAAGTCTATTAAAAAATACAAGTATATTATAATTAAATATGTTATATATAATATATAAATGACATGCTAACCAGCATCCTAAGAGCGTAGAATAAGGACTTAAAAGAGGAAAGTTTACTATTTCGATGTGAAGAAATGTGCTTCCTTATTACTTTTTAATGTGCTCCAATATGATTTTGAATAAAAAGTTTTTCTTTTCAATTTCTTTAAACAGTGCCCCTAGGCACTTTTCAAGACCCCTACGTAAATAAATATATAAATACAATATAAAATTCAATTCAGCAAACACATCTATATAAATAATTATAAAATCCAGTCAGTGCCTAATTACTTTCAATAAAGATAATTACAGGTATGAACACACTGTTTATAAGCATATAGACAATTTAGCCCCTGTTGTGATTTGCTAATCACTGTCACTCCTGTTCCTAGAACTAAAAAAATTCAAAAAGCTCTTGAAACCGCAATATGTCCCTCAGATGGTACAAGGTTGCTGTAACGTAAAAACATAGGTGATGATATTAACATAAATAAAAAGGCCAAGATGTCAGTGTGCGGTAAAATATCACAGTAGCAGGGACATTTTTTTTTAATTACACTAAATCTAAGAATAAAGTGAGAATTAATCACGTTTTGAGGGACTAAATTACTTATTTGCTATATTATGTACAACTCAGTTGCTATGTCTGGGGTTTACAAGCCTCGTTTAACGTAACTCTCTAAATTGCTCAGCAAGGGGTTAGCTCTGAAACCTAGAGTTCATAGACGGCAACTATAACCTGTTTGGGCTCGGCCGTGGAGTGAAACCCGTTCTCGGGAACTGGTTGCTCCTGCTGTTGTTCACTTTCAGTCTTGGAAGGTTTACAGCAGTTAATAAGTAAATTGGGAACCAGCTCCTTCTCCAGAGAGGACATGTACACTGAGACAGCAGCATCGGCAGCAGAGCTAGGAGAACACACAGAACTAAACCTCTTATCATCTTCCACCTGCTGCTGCTGATGCGGGTAATACTCGAACTCCGTGGGCTCACCATCGACCCAAACACTCTCAATCCCTAAATTCTCCGCGTGCAACCCTACGATCCCAATCTCCGGCACCGCAATCTCCAATTCAGTGTACCTACAAGTGAAATCAACTGAAATAAAATTCTAGATCGATTTTAAATACGCGATCTCAAACACAGTCTCGGCCGTAACAAAACCTAATCCACAACAGCGTCGTGTAGTAGAGATGCTAATTATGGAGTAACGGAAGGGGAAAAGAGAATTGCGAACCCGTGGACTAGGCGTTTGTCGATGTCAATTGAGAGACATAGCTTCTGGTGGTGAACTAGGGCACCAGAGTTTTCGGGCTTGGGGTCTTCGTTGTTCTTGGTCTTGCGAGGTTTCGCCATAGGGGGAAGAGTGAGAAACGAAAATCGAATTCGAATCGAGGTATCTTTCTCTCTCTTCGAGTGTGTCTCCCTCCAAGATAGATGAAGTTATGCTTTATTTATAGATAAATAGAGCAGTAGTAGCGTGCTTGAGTCAGGCCTAGACAAGCGATGACGATATGGTGCCCTAAATGCAATTGCATTCAATGTTGCTAAATTCGTTTTAGTGGTGTATAAAGCTAGACTTAATCAGTGATTTGTTTGGTTTCGTTAATTTTTATTTGTTTGTATATGACAGGTATGAATTTGTGAAAATTTTAATGTTTTCAATTTATTTCTTATATTTAAATTTTTATTCGATTTAATTTTATTTTTTTCTATTTGAGATTAAATTAATAATAATTAAAATCTTAAATTAGAGAATAAAATTAGATCGTTTAAAAAAAATTAATTTTTTAATAAAATAACTAAATTAAAATAGGATACCACATCAGACTGCGACTCTCACGTCAGACTATCATTATTATGTGATACACATGATCACGTGATAGTTTATGTTTGTTTATATTAAAAAAATATATGAATTTACAAGTATCATATATAAACATGGTGTTAAAGTAATTTGATGGAAAGAATCAAATTGAATTTTATAGATAACAAAGGAATAAATTTTTGAAAATAAATAAAATGGTACTGAAAATATTATGCAATTATGTGAATAAGCTTAAACTTAAGATTAAATCTATTGTAATTAATTGTTTAAAATTTGTAAATAAAATATAAGTAACATAATTTAAAATTGTCATTAGAAACTTGATTTTGAAGATGAATTTGAAATTTTATATGAAATTAGTAAACTAGATTTTATTAACTTTGTAATTTGTTTAATAATTAAATTTAAAATTATATAATTGTAGTTCACATAAAATTTTAATAACTGTATTTATATTTAATTAAATTAGTAGGGATTGATCCAATCGTCATACGCACTTCTTAAATAACTATTTTTGTAATTTATAGTTTATATTTTTTGTAAACATATCCAAAAATAAATGTTTTGAACCTGGAAACAAAAGAGAAAACCTAAAGAATATAATTACTTTTTTATATATATCGACTAGACTAAAAGAGTGAGTATTTTTCGACGAACCAATGAATACAACCAAATAAACAAGTTGTTTAAAAAGAATAAATAGTAACATGTTAAATTTCTAGTAATTTAAGTTGTGGGTTATGCATTTCAAATGAAGATAACCCATTATTGCCCATGGTTATGTAAGAAGAATAATGGTTTCCCTAAGAACAGAAAAAACACAAATATTAGGAATGTGACACCAAATACCTTGAAGTAAGAGTTCACGAAATTAAAAAAACATAAAAAATAGTATATTAATTTATTTTAAGTGTCAACAATAATTTTATATAATTTTTAACTTTTCTTATAGTTTCGCACGTGAAGTATATTTTAATTTTTTTGTTGATGGTTAGAGTTATAGTCATAATAGAAATTCACAAAAAGATAATGTCTAAAAATAAATACTCACATTAAATTTCCCAATTTTTATTTATTATAATATTAAAATGAAATAATGTTATTATTTGAAATAATGCTAGGAGTACCAAATCTAAAAATTATCTTTGAGACAGCAATTGTTTTAAAAAAAAATCTAACACCACATTCAATATATTTTTTTCTAAAAATTAATGTTTACAGGTATTTTTGTAGTACATGCCATCCAAAATTTGTATTTTAATTAATGTGGTTATCAACTCGTACTTCAATTTTATGAATAACTTGTATTTTATAAACAACATCCCTCAAAACGCTCTTTAATTCTATCAGTATAACATACATTATAAGATAACATTATAAAATACATTAATGTTTATCTGTTTATGAAGATTGTAAAATGACAATGTAACATTTACATATAATGAAAGGCATAGGTAAAATGAGTGTAAGAGTAAGTGACATAAGTCTCGCACTTAACCAAAATCTTATGAACATGGAAAACAATTAAAAGAGTAAGATAAGAAAGAAAATTAACATTCTACAAAGGATATCATATATTTACATAACATAAACTGTTTAAGAAAGAATTTATGAAAGTCACTGTTAAAAATGATGTGCAACAGATAAAAACAATAGTTGAGTAATTAAAAAACTCATCTTTTAATTGTTAATCTATATCCACTCCTTACATGATAAAAATAATCATATGATTGAAAAGTAATATATATAACTTTAACATATATATATAATTATATCAGTAATAAAAAATATAACATATATATTTTTAAAAACTTAAACATTTTGTTTAAAAGACCATTTTTTATAATTAACATTGTAATTTATTAAAAATATTATGAAATAAATAAATTTTGTTTACAATAAAAATTATAACAATTATTTGTCAGACCCCTTAAAAACCCACTAAAAATCCCAATTAGTGGGACAAGGAAAGAGTGAGCGTTTCAGTTAATGGAAAACAGGTGGTTAGAGGAAAGTGATCGTTCGGTTTTGGGTGACGGCAATACTTAATGCCAAATTTCAAATGTTTGTGCACTTCTCTTCCTTCTTCTCCAATTGCTGAAAACGTTTCTCCTCCTTCCTCTCTAAAATCTCCACCTTCTCTCTAAGAAAATCTCACATTTTCTTCTTCCGATTACCTCTAGACATCGTTTGTTAACACACTCCCGACGTCAAGAGCTTTCGTTTAAAACCGATTGGTTTGTGGTTCTAGCCGGTGTAGTTCTTTCTCTTTAGCACGTTCGTTTAGTCTCGCATGCAAACCTCTATTTCTGGTCGCCTTAGTGAATCGTATAATTCTGAGTGTTTCTAGTTTTTTGTTTGGTTCAGTATTCCTAAAACGTGACTTGCTGCGAACGTTTAAGTCTTTGGTAGTGGAGAGCTCTATTTTGCATCGTTGAGCGTTCAATTACGTATAGAGGTAAGAGAAGCTTATATATTTGATTAAGATTATTGTTTTTAAACGTTGGTATGTTTGAAGGACAAGTTGTTTGATTATTTGATGAGTATGAAATATGCATGTACTGCTTGCTTGGATGTGTGGATGGATGAATGATACATGTTGTGAGCTGAGTTGAGATAGGGTTGATCTTCAAACTATAGTATTATGAGTAAAGGTTATGGTATAGTCGAGCGTCATTAGTGAGTGTTCGATCTTCATGGAAGTGCATGGTCGTAACTGATTTCTCATGCTTTAGGGATGTTGTCTAAGAGTCAGCTGCCTATAATACTCTGTGGATTAAGTAAACTGTGACGAGAGAGTATTAACGTTCAGTTTTACTTTGAGCGTCGTCTATACAGTCTTCTTATAGACGATTTCGTTAATGAAGTCGGTTATAATATTAGATATATGTAAATGAGTGTTCGCACCTAAGTGTAGTCCTTCTTTAGGTTTCCTAAACATTTTAGTTACGTATTTTATAATACTTAAAGTCGTAGACGTTATCGTTATTTTTCTTTAAAAATAAGTGTGGCACAATTGTGTGTGTGTTGTGTGTGTGGTGTGTATATATATATATATATATATATATATATATATATATATATATAATATATATCATTCGTTCTACGAAGTTTTTTAATGCTCGGTCTTGGACCAAGCGTTCGATCTCAATAGCACTCGTTCCTGATAAGTACTTGGTTCGTCGACCAGCGCTCGTTCAATAGTGTTCGGTTTCTATAGGCTCGGTCTTAAACCAAGCGCTAAGTTTCGTTTCAGAAATCTATGATTACCATTTTTAAATAAGAGTCTTCAGCCAAACTCATTAGCTTTCGTTACTTCATAGTTTTTCACCAGTATTAGTATTGGGTGTCAAACAGTGTTAGTCTTTAAAAGGTGTTCGACCTAGAGTCTTAGTACTTGGCCTAGGCTTCGTGGCGTCTGGTTTGAGATCTTAGGGATCTGTTTATGGAAGTGGATAAATTCGTAAATAGCGCTCGGTCATGTTAGTTTCTAAGAATGTTTTATTCCAGTCGTACTTGTGCTATGATGAGAATGTGTGATCCTATTTCAGTTGAATATATTGACGATAAAGTATGAGAGAATTTGAAACGTGATGTGAATGAAATAGTTTGGTTATGAACGAGTATTCCATGGAGAAATATCTCAGAAAGTGGTTATTGATTTATAAAGTACGAATGTGGGCAAAGCTTAGCGGGCGTTTATCCTGATATTCCATGATTATTCATTCTCAAGTAGAGAGGAGTAAGTCATGTGTGAGAATGACAGGAGGTCCTAGTCCAAAAGGTTAACTTGGACGGAATTGATTAACCTCGGGTGGCAGCTGTTGAGGGTATCCTAGTTACTACATCACCCGGGTGCACAAACGTCGTAGTTACACATGATTCATACAGTCCAGACAGTCAGAGTCAAGTGGTTGGTATTTATATGATCTTACGTATGAATTATGATTTGGTGTGGTTAATTTAATTATGACATTGTATGTTGTATTGAATCAATTAAATTACATAAAACTTACCCTGTTTATCATTGTTGTTTGTGTTGTGCGTTCAGTTGTTGTCCTGTTGCAATGATCATCCGTGTGGATGTGAGCAGAAGGAGAAGAAATGTTGGAAGAAACATTGGAAGAGGCGGAAGTGAAGGCCGAACCTTAGGAACGTTCGGTCTGTTGTTGGTTTAATCTTTTGTAAGACCGTTCGATAATAATTTATTTTGTAAACCGTTCGGTCTAGTTGTAGCTAGTGTACGATTTTAATATTGTTATGTAAGGCCGTTCGGCCATAATCGTATCCCGTTAAGTGTAGAACTGATATGTAGTATTGTTAATATGTGAATATTCTCGTATATGAGTTTATACTGTATTTTTGGGATGTTACATTATTCATATTAAATTTCATAATAATAATAATTTGTTTTTTTATTATCATAAAAATTAATTTTCATATGTGTTTTCACTGGTTATAATAATAAAAATAATTTAAAGGTATTACTAAAATTTATTTTAAGTCATAAAACAACTACAAAATTACTTTTCATTGATTTTTACAATGCTTATTATATGATAAAAATATATTGTAACTGTTATTAAAAAAAATTCACATGATAGATAAGTAGTTATAAAATATTTTATTTTTGCTAATTATTAT